ACAAACTAGTCACAGATCTGGATCTACCTTCAATACTTATCCATCTCTGTAAGTACTCGAACCGTACTCCCGTCCGTGTTCGATATCACGAATGTCCGACTTCACTGTCCGACATGTTCGACTGTTCTTTTATTTGTTAAGATCCCATTTCACCAACACAGATAATCAACTCCGTAGCTGTAATGAGAGCCTCAACGCTCTAGCCACCTCTGGAGTATACTGAGCTCAAATCTACGTCGGCTATGGATTGCCTACAATAGGAACAGGTGCCAGTGATGCTGGGCTTCTACCTGCGGATGAACAGTCTCACCACTTCCTATTAGATCTTATTCTACTGCTATTCTTGCCAGAAGTCGATCAACAATGATCTCCACAAGCAGGTACAAAAATCTCTTCCGGAAGCAACCTGCGTCAGCTCTCACCAGCTGTCGCGGCGTATAAAGCACATACGCACATGTTCTTCACGAACTAGTCACAGATCTGGATCTACCTTCAATACTTATCCATCTCTGTAAGTACTCGAACCGTACTCCCGTCCGTGTTCGATATCACGAATGTCCGACTTCACTGTCCGACATGTTCGACTGTTCTTTTATTTGTTAAGATCCCATTTCACCAACACAGATAATCAACTCCGTAGCTGTAATGAGAGCCTCAACGCTCTAGCCACCTCTGGAGTATACTGAGCTCAAATCTACGTCGGCTATGGATTGCCTACAATAGGAACAGGTGCCAGTGATGCTGGGCTTCTACCTGCGGATGAACAGTCTCACCACTTCCTATTAGATCTTATTCTACTGCTATTCTTGCCAGAAGTCGATCAACAATGATCTCCACAAGCAGGTACAAAAATCTCTTCCGGAAGCAACCTGCGTCAGCTCTCACCAGCTGTCGCGGCGTATAAAGCACATACGCACATGTTCTTCACGAACTAGTCACAGATCTGGATCTACCTTCAATACTTATCCATCTCTGTAAGTACTCGAACCGTACTCCCGTCCGTGTTCGATATCACGAATGTCCGACTGTCCGACATGTTCGACTGTTCTTTTATTTGTTAAGATCCCATTTCACCAACACACTCCTGTCGTTTCGACGACTCCAGTTGCGATAACGAATCCTTTCTTCATTTAATATGTAACGTGTATATATGACCGACGACGGTCATATCTAATCTTCCTGATCTCCTTGGATTAATGCCCGAAACTTGCGGAACTTTTCCCCTTGCAAAGGTTTCGTCCAGCGTAAAACTCGTTGTGTATTCAATGTGCGGAAGGTGAGATTTTTGTGATCTGTAAAAATAGTCAATTGCATACCGTAAAGCATTGAGCAAAACTCTTTCAAGCAATGCACAATAGCCAACATTTCTTTTTCCATGACAGAATAATTCTTTTGCGCATCATTGAGTTTGCGACTCCAGTACGCCACAGGCTTTTTGTCTTGCATGATCACGGCGCCCATTTGATAGTCTGAAGCATCAGTATAGAGCTCAAAGGCTTGTTGTGATCGGGATACTGCATTAAAATATCACTAGCCATCAAAAATTTCATTGTTTGGAAAGCTCTTTCACATTTGTCTGTCCATTGAAATGTGCGTGTTTCGCCAAATTGAAAATCATGTGATTGTGAATATTATCCCCCAAAATTTGAGTTCATTTAACAAACTTTGGACACATATGAGTAAAAACCGCTTTTTGGTCGCTTCTCCTCAATTTCCTCAAAGTCCTCATTTTACTCAATTTGAGGAAAATGAGTACCTGGTACTTTGAGGGAATTGAGTACTTTGAGTAAATTGAGGAGAAGCAACCAAACTCCTCACTTTTGGTGGCTTCTCCTCGCTTTTGCCTGAGAGGTGGTCGATTACCGGATGGACAAAGCATCGACCCCCCACACATTGTCACCTGAATGCTATTCCTATTCAGAGTGCCCTTAGGTCTATAGTTGTAATGGAGTAAGCTTGATCAAATGTCGTACCAACGTCTAACTGTTGTCTATGTGAATATGCCAATCAGGACTCCCCGCAACTCGTCTGTCCATCCACCGATTTTTGAGCGTCGGACGCGATTACTACGCACGGGTCCTCCCCCCCTGCCAGCAGGGAGCCCCTCATAAATTAAAACGACTTTTTGAAACCGATCAAAGAAATCGAAACAAGTCAATGCGACAAGAAACCGATCAAACGATTTTGAAACCGATCAAAGAAATCGAAACAAGTCAATGCGACAAGAAACCGATCAAACGATTTTGAAAACGATCAAAGAAATCGAATCAAGTCAAAAAAATGAGTCACGAAACAGTTGAAAATCATGTCAATCAAAGCAAAATCCTTCAAGATGACAAATGTTACAGCGTACAGTAGGATCGAACGTATGGACCACTGCAAACCTCACAAATACGAGTTTCAGACCTTGAAAAATGGCAAGGAAGAAAAACCTTCGACCAAGGAAAGGTGCCATAGCTGAGATCCTGCGAGATTCATCACCAAAAACCTCCAACAACGCAGCATGGCATTGTTCTTGAAGAAGAGGATAAAGACGACAATCACAATAATGAGGATGAAGACGAACTACCTCAATATGCTGAACCAAGAGATGAATAGGGTAAAGATGACTACTAGAATGAGATGCAAAGTAAATACAATTAGGGGCCCTACTCAAGACAGTTTCTATTTATCCCCTTCATAAGTTTCTACAGCATCCTCGATCATAATATCGTATAATGACATCTCTCTTGTGATCAGATAATGAGCCAAGACGCAACAAGCCTCGAAAGCTGAAGCAAATCTATCTCCGTTGTGTCGAAATCGCGTCTCCAAGATCTTGTTTTGCTTCAACAGACTGAAGAAATTATCGTGTCTCTTGAGAGCTCGACTCTTGAAGGGCCTGACACCAGCATTGTCGTGTGTGTTGTAAGTGCTCATATGCTTTGGCTCTCTGTTGTAGCCTCGATCTCCGAGGGCAGCTCCACAATCTTTCTCTCTTACCCAATAGTTGGAGTCGAACTGGGACGTCAGCTCATCTTCGGATAGGTACTTTCGTAGATAGTACAGTCGCCCAATCAAGAAACATTAGGGTCAAGTACTCCTCCCTTGATCCTTGCGCCTGCAATGTTGGTGATTTGCGTGTCGGTGTACACCCAAACTGCAGTGCAGGGAGAAACTCTGAAGTGGTGTTTGAGACTTGGCACGCTTGATTCGCCTTTCGCTGTAGCCCTTCAGAGCAAGGCCAGATTCCATCATCTCCGATCCAGATTCCATCATCTCCGATGGAGTAACGAGATGGTTGATGGGCGGCTTGTCCATGAAAGAGACTGATTTGATGATAATATGCGGAGACTCGTAAGGCTCCATCCGAGTATGATGTGGCTATCGTACGTCGCAGTTTTTAAAATTAAAAATGATGTCACGAAATTTCGAAACCGATCAAAGAAATCGAAACAGATCAAGCGAAACCGATCAAAGAAATCGAAACAAGTCACTGCGACACAAAACCGATCAAATGATTTTGAAACCGATCAAAGAAATCGAAACAAGTCACTGCGACACGAAACCGATCAAACGAATTTGAAACCGATCAAAGAAATCGAAACACGTCACTGCAACACGAAACCGATCAAAAACAATATTTTGCTACAACAATGCCCCCCGGCCCAGGGGTGTATTGAAAACCATTTAGTAGTCAAAGAAGTCGGAGATGTGAAATTCGGAAACGGTCGGTCGATAGACGAGTTGCGGGGGATCCAGGTTATTCCATTTTTTTTCTTGTTTGTTAAGTATGAGTTGCTCTTTTTCCTCCACGCGATCACAAATGACTTATGAGGGTCTTTCTGTTTTCCAACAATGACAAAAATCCTCGTTCTGCCGGGCCTAGTAGATAATATAGAAAGTAAGCCTGAATCCAAGCTGTTTTGATGAGTACAATATTAGTGTTCAATGCTGCGGATGTACACTGCGGATGTAGTACAGTAATCCGCAGCATATTTTATCACAACAAGGACAAAAGTGAAAAACAGCAACATCTTCTGCCAGCACTCCTAATCTCACTGCATTCCATCACAAGCCTTTGCAAGTGAGCTTCAAACCATAACCAATCTCCAACTACAAAAGAACAAAGGATCGCACAACACACATCGGCAGGGAATAAATAATGAGCAAGGTGACTGCCAGTAATGGACCAAGTGGAGAAATAACTGCAACCAAATCCACACCTCCCGGATATAACAAGACAAAACGAGATCAGTCCAAGTTCCTGCTGGCACTTACTGCAGTTCTGCTGGTGACGCCTGGCTCCGTCTTGTCAATCCTCACTGCTGCAGGAGCTGTTCTTTGCATCAAGGAAGCCAAAGTTGCCTCCACTAAGAATATGAAGTGGATGACTTTGTCCTTTATAAGTTTTGGAGCTAGTCTTTCCTCTTTCATCCTTGCGTCTGGTTCCGCTTTTGTAGACGAGGACAAGGCCTATGGTCTAAAGATTAGTCTGTGGCTTGGGGCCAAGGCGATTCAAACTGGGTGGGGTGTAACTCTGGCACTGTTTTTGGTTTCATCATTCACGGCAAAAAACAACGAACTAGAAGGCAAACAACAATAAGAGCATCACTTTTTCTTTGTTGTAGGATTCGCTCCTTGCTTCTTTGATGATGGATTGACCAATTGTAATGGAATGTAGACGATTCGTATCATTCATTCGTTTGCTGCTTTATACTGTAGCCATTAGCCCCCGGAACACCAAGCTGGCGTTATGACGTGAAGTACTTCATGAGAATAGGCGCTACCTGTTTCCGACTTGCCTTGGGATTACCTTGTTTGAAGCAGATCAAGTACATGTCGTCGTTGGATTTTGACCGTTTCACCTCTTCCAGTTGCAAACTAGTATCTTGTTTCAAGGAGTCTGCCACCTCTTCCAAGGATTCTTCACTCTTGGCCAACAAAGCCAACTGCCGTTGGGGACCAGTGTCCTCTCCAGCTCTGTTGCTAAAAGAAAAGAACATGATGGCAAACACGTCGAACGACATGACAAATTTGGAGCATGTTGAATCCATGGAATTCATCCAATCGTGCTTTTCCATGAACTCTGTCATGGTTTGCAGCACTGATGCGACTCCAAAAGATCTAGGCGGCATAATTTCGAAGGACTTGAAGTCTAGATTGAGTGCTTGCAATAGCGTCAAAGAATTCCAAAAGTCGGGGTGGAACTTTTGGTTTTGCAAAATGTCAAAGAGTTTGGTGGGGTCCGGTTTGCCATCGTTGGCCAATATTTCTTCTGGAAGACGAAGCTCTGACCAAGTCGTTCGGTCCAACAAGGTCTGGACCGCTGATTCATCACGAGGCGTTACTTTGCCCGCCTTGGGCGACAGGTTGACAGAGTCCAATAGAATTACACCCAACAAGAGAACTGCTAAGGTCGGCGGGAATTTATCTGAAACAGGAAAGCGTTCCACCACGAGTGTACAAGTGCTTGCCACCAGTGCCGACGATGTTTTGGAATCAAACGCCACATTTCGTTGTTCGGGAGCGGAACAAGAGTCCATGTGTTGTCCTTCATCAATATGGTGGTCCAAGATGGAAACCACAGTCCAATCGGGCTTGTTTTTTATTGTCAACGAATTGTGATCAACCAACGAGACTGAGGCGGATGTAGGAAGATGGAGAGAATCAATGGCGATCAAATCATTCAAATCAATCTTGGCCAATTGCTGTAAAATATATCTGGTTTCGGGTCTTTGGGTGGTCAAACTTTCATGTGGAATAGAGACGATAGGAATTGTAGTTGTAGATTTCGTCATAGAAGAATCCTCTTCGGAAGAACACGAAGCGCTTAAAAATAATACAGTGTTGATGTAGGCGAATGCGATGGCGCTGATGATACTATCAGCATCTCCCGCTGGGTTTCCCAAGCATATGGATATTGGTTGGGATATCGTTGTTGCCGACTGAGAACTGGAAGATGTTGCTGCAAATGAGACTGCTGAATCTCTTAGAAACTCTGATACTGATGGAAGCATGGTGTCTTTTTGGTCTGTGCCGTGCATATAACGTTGGATCGACGAATATCTGCAAGCTCTGGCTACAAAACTCTTGGTATTGGTTGTTAACAAAGAGAAAGAGCGAGATACTAGCAGTAGAGGCAATGATGAAAGGGCAGTAATTCTCATCAAGGAATTCTAACACCTCATAAACGTCGAATATCAGCAAATCGAGAAAACAACGTTGATGCTATCGTCGCTTTTGTTGATGATTTTATCGTGAGGATAGGCACAGTAGTCGAAATCGGGAAAAAACGGGATTTAGTTAGGTACTCAGGTAGTGTCAAAATGCATCCAATTGCATTTTTCTGGAGTCTGACGAGTCGCATTCAAGTCCCATGCGCGTCGTACTGCGCGCTAGAGTGCATCATTTTTATTTTTAAAAAATCAACCTTTTGAAATCCGATGAACATTATTATTATCGCTGTGGCATTTTATTGGTATTTTGTGGTGTCCAATACGATGGAACCCAGCATCGTTGGGCAACTGAAACGCGAGAATACCTTCAATAATGCGATGGTCAAAGAAGGACCAGGATGATGATACCACTGAGCCATTCAACGTAGCTGGAAGTGCTGGTAAGAAGAACAGCACGTTTAGCATTAACATCGCAAGCTTGGATCATCTGAAAATGCGGTACATCGCTGGTAACTACATTTCTCCCATTTCTGTCGAAGCCAACCGGCGGCTTTATTGGAACGCACCAGGACGCGATTCGATCGTCGCCCGATCCTCTCTACTATTGGTCATCTTGCACAACCACCAATGGACCGAGAGTCTTTTTGCTGCCTTGTTTCGTCCACTTGGATTTAGAGATCTAGATCATGCGGCAACAATGAGCGCACATTAGACGCATTGCCTCTGGCGAATGACACCTCAGCAGATGTCTTCGTGTCCATTCAAGTGGCACATGATGACAACGACACCATCATGATAAAGCAAGTACTGGTACCGACTTCGTTGTGTCATTTATTTATTGTTTGCTTCTTTTTCGCCTCCAGCATGAAAGGTGTAGCACGAATTAGCATTCAATAATAACGAACTAATTGGATTTATCTACAAGTCTGGGAAGAGTATAAAGCCTTCATTTTCTGTCTGTCATTGATATCATCTCTCTCGCTAAATATTTTTTCCCAGGAGCTCGGAACTATGCCACGGGCAACCATATTGTAGACTTCAAGCCAACTCGGTTCCATGGACATGTCTTTGTTGATGCGAATGTTCACGCCATCCAGAATCAATTCAGTTTGCGAAATGGGCAAAGAATTATTCTTTGGCTTGATGTTGTACTTGCCTCGCTTCTTAGAGGAATGAATGCCCAATCACACTTGATTGTCTTGACTTGAAAGCCTGCCTTGTTTTAGTGGCGGAATATCTTATCCAATGCTTCAAATACATATTTCCCTAGTATTGAGGTTGAGCACTCGGTGCCCAGTACATTGTCCCTTTGTAGGTTCAATGTAAATCGCTTCGATACTTTGCGGTTCCATCAAATTGTTGGAATCCGTCCCAATTGCATGAACATATTGTCCAAGTTCAGCAACCATGTCACTCTTGTAGTTGATATTGACATTATCAATGAGTTGCTGCAAACTGAAATGTAATGAGATACTGTCTTTCTGGGGAAAGACATTCAATAGCTCGGGGGCTTGACGTCCAAGACATTCAGTGATCACCTTTGGGACCACTTTGTAGGGTAAGCGTGCAGGAGCTACTCTGACTCTTTCTTTCAGCGTCCTATTGTTTCGCTCAGCGGTAGGCTCGTGGTCCCCAGCTGCAGCCGGGTCAATAGTAACACCCATAAAGATACGCACGCATAGTCTGTACGCGGTAACGTACAGAATCGGTGATGGACCACACACATCATCACAACTTTCTAGATTTCCTTTTACAAACGTCTATCAACTTTCCTTTACTTTTATCATCTTCCT